GCGCGCCCTGTGTGTATTGAGTGTATGGTGATGATAAATGTAGCTGTTGTTCTTCTGATGCAGTGACGTTCTTTATGCATTAAAAGACGTTTCCCATTTTGGGGAAATCACAGCATTTTTTTGCAGGTGTTCTGGAAGAGATGGCACTTGTTTCGCATCACGCTGCAGCCGGAGCTATGGTTGGTGGACCAACGTCGATGTATGGTGCTGGACCGGCAGCCCCAAGTGCTGCTGCAGCAGCAGCTGCTGCCGCTGCTGCACTGGCCAAAGAAACTCGACACAGTAGCACATCTCTTAGCGGCAAAAGTACTGTGGGCGCAAAATTGGTACAGAACTCCTATCATAATGGACATCTTCAACAGGTTAGCCTCATTTATGATCAGCTTCTGATTTTTGAAAGCTTTAATAAATATATATTTTTTGAATTTTTAACGGCTTGTTTTGAGTTTTGTTTTTCATTTCTTGTATATAGTTTAAGAGTTTTTTTTTCCTTCAGCCATCGGCAGCACATTCCCAAGCAATTTTAACAGCTGTGCAACCGTTTTATCGTCCACCGAATACGGAACAGTACGACAGTCAGCCTGATCGCCCAATTGGCTATGGTGCTTTTGGCGTCGTCTGGTTAGTAATCTCTGCAGTTTGCATTAGTTCTGATATATAAAAGCAGTCATTTAAATGGGCACTATGCTGGTTATCGTTGTGCCTATGGGAAAAAAAAAAAGAAAAATGCGCTGAATGAAACACAGAAAAGCTAACTGTGAGCAAGCGTTGCATACCAATCAGTAGTACTTCCACGGCTTGTATTGGTCGGTATTTCACGCCTTCTATTTTGGCCATTCAGAGCCTCCAAAAACCTTTTACACCTTCATCCGGTTCGACCTGTTCTCCGTGACTGTTCATCTTCCCCTACGCTAGTTTAATAGCTCCAGATTTTTATGACTTCATAAGAAGTTTTTGACCTATATATTATACATTGTCATTCATGGTACTGTGGTTTTCATTACCAAACCTCGTCTAGCACAACGCAGACATTCATATTTGGAACAATTGCTTCCGAGTTGGGCCTCTATGGCCCTTTCCACCCTTCCTATTTCAAAAAGAAATGAATGATCCCTGAGCGAATTGCGATGTTTTTGCGTATACATAGCAGCCTGACATGATGGAGGCCCAGATAGTACACCTTTGCTCAGCATTGGCTATTTCTGATTATCACTGAGTGTTAGACAGAAGTTCATTATCTTATCTTACTTTATTATCTCCTAAAATGCTTCTGTCGGTTTTATAATTATTTCCTCTGTCTCTGAATTGAGCCTCAGTGCACTGACTTTCAGGTCAGTTACGGATCCCCGAAATGGCAAACGTGTGGCGTTAAAGAAAATGCCAAATGTTTTCCAGAATCTTGCATCATGCAAACGCGTTTTTAGGGAAATCCGCATGCTTTCCAGTTTCAGACATGATAATGTAAGTCTCGTTTTTCACTTGATTTCTCCTGCTAAAATTTAATCTCCATCCATATCATTGTCTGATACACAGGAGGAATTGGCCTAATTATTTTGATCGTGTTTCTGGAACTCAGTATCGTCCTATTTTCCACACCACTAGGGCGTAGATCCCACTCCTTGTGCTGTAGGTAAATGTTATTATTTTCGCACTAGCTTCAGTGTT